TGTATCAGAAGCATCCAGAATCCCAAAATGCAAGAAATTAACTTATCAGCTATACCAAAAAAGATAAGCTTGAGCTAAAAAAGTGGTAAAGGGCAAAGCAGATAAACTGGTTGGTGAAATAGTATCTTTGGTGCACAGTTACTATAATTCCTCACTTCTCTTGACCTCCAGGAGCTGCTCTGTGCTTGACTGAATCTCAGCTAGAAGAGGCAGCTCTGTTCCAGCGATGTGCAGCTTTCTCCTTTGTCTGATGTTAATGCAAAATGTTCTCATTTGCAGAGGAAGTCTTTGCTTTTCTTTCTGTTTTCTCAGAGAAGAAGAAGGGAGCGGTTAATAGAATTGAAGTGCATTTATCTTTTGCTGCTCTGTGATTATGTGCTGGAACTGTAATTTCTTCTGCTATACCTTTTGGGACAGAATTATAGGGATACAACCAAGGAGTATGTCACCTGTGAGATAAGTTATCTAGGTAAGCTCCCCAAGAACTTTTTTGTAAAGCTGCAGTTTGTTTCCTAATTTAATAGATGAAGGAGAAGAGTCTGAACTAGCTTCCCTGCCCAACCAAAAGCACCATCTGCATTCCAGGAAGTAGGAAGCTATATAGAGCTTATTTGTCAGTAATAATGAAATAGTATGTTTTATACTTTAGTGTGTGTAAATTTTATTTGCTGCCAGTGAATCCACCCTGGGTTGTGTGCTATTACTCAGGCAACAAGAAAGAAAGCATTTTAGATGGAAATTCAGGGTGAGGAGTAAAAAGGATGTGGTGACTAAAACCAGCATTTATTGAAACTCACAGGATGAGAATCTTCCTAGCAGATATTTTCCAATTAAGTGTCTAGTGGATCAGGTAGCTGCTTTTCTTGACGTTTTTGGTAGTAGTGGACTACTATAAAGATTGTTAGTCTGGATGGGTGAGGCTCTTGCAGCATATTTGTTCCACAAGATATGGACAGAGACTCAAATTAAATAATGGCTCACACATGTATTTCTGCCTGCAAAGGTGAAGAAAAACTGTTAGCAATCTAATTTTGATTATTCAGGTACTAAATTTCATGCTAAAATATGAAATATTTCCTAATAGCTTTTGACATCATTAGCAGTTGCTACCTGAGTGTTAATCATGGCTAATGTAGCTGCAAGCAGCACACAGAGATAGAGCACATCCAACAAAGTACAGGTGCAGAATTTCTCAAACTTCCCTTGGAAGGAGAGTGCTCAGGCTCTCTCCCTCCCAGCTGTGTATTCCAAGGCAATAACAGCTTGGCAAATGTGCATCAGTCTGGAGGGCTGAAAGGCAAGAAAAATATACCCATTAGTAGCTGAGTCATCTCTGGAGTTTTGTAATATAGACTTTTATGAGAACAGGATCAAGTGTTGATTCTGTAATAAATCTGTAACTGAAAATTATGATACTTTTATACATGATTAGATTTCTTGAGTTGCCTGCCCTCCTGTCAGGCTGGTCACTGCTTGGTTTGAGCTGTCAAACTGCTGCCCCTGCAGACATGCAGCCCAGGTGTTCATGTCTCACTCCAAGTCTGCCTTTATGTTTTAGCACTGCAGATTTGGTTCAAGACCAAAGTGAGTTATTGTGCAGCCTTTGTACAAGTAGTGACAAACCTCAAACCCCCACAGCCTCTTACCTGAATGTCTCACTCTGCAGCTCTTTTGCAGTCACTATAAATGTCTTTGAATCTCCTTGGAGTGGAATATTTCAGGTGGGTCTGGACATGCATTTATTGAGCTGTCTACCAGATGGATGTTAAATTTCACTTTTTTGATCTTGTCAGACACTAAAATTATTAAGTTGTGCACCAATCCAAATGTCAATTATTTGCAGAATCTCATGATTTATGAATTTGCTTCCATTACAACAGGTTTATAAAACATACACCTTAAAATGCAGACCATTCTTATATGTTCTGCATTAACTTCATGCTTGTTTGTTCTAATTATATTGCAGCAATTAAATATATACTTGCAAATGCACACAAGTATGTATTTTCTTTTGGTTTCTTTATGTTGTCTGTCTGGGTAATGCATGAGAGAGAAGCCAAAAGCAGCTTATTTCTTTCTTCCTAAAATCAGTATTGTTAGATCTAGTCAACAATGAATATAATTTTCATATTTAGTTTTTCACAGATTTTGTTGCTGTTTGCTATTCAGTGGTTTAATAAGCTTCTTTTTAATACATGTGTGGAAATGGTTTGGAGTGAATCAGGATAATAAAATACTTTCAATTTATATCTTTCTGACATCTTGGTTCACTATTAATGCCTCTTCTGATGTAGCTTTCTGGGAAAGCTCTGGCAAAGCTCCAAAGCTGTTCACGGATGTGGCAGCATCCACCATTAGAGGATATTTGGATAAATAAATACATTCAAAGGCATTTTGTAGTAAATACTTGGAAATCCTCTCAGGGAAAGCCAGAAGCTCTCACACAGGTTGAGTGTCAGCAGTCCTGTCGGGATTCAGGCGTGGCACATTTGTTGGCCTGCTGAGGATCAGCCAGCCACTTTAAGTACCACCAAACATCTCTGTTCTTCTGGGGGGGTCTCAGTTGCCTCTGCCAGGCTCAGCCTTCAAAACAACTTTTGGTACCTCAGCCAGATTCCAAATGGTGTAAGAAAATATGTTGCTCTCTCTCAGGACTAGTGCCAAACATGAGAATAACGAGGTTCTGACTTACTGCTCTCATGGGAGGGTTTAACTGCATGGCACAGCAATGAGAGCTCATGCTCAAATGAACCACCAAGAGAACAGAGCTTCTGAAGGAGTATGACAGGCATAAAAAGCTGCTTTTTATATTGCATGGGCACCTGGCACCGACAGGGTAAGCTGTGGAGGCAAACACTACACTTTGTTCCAAGAAAGGAACTGCCCGACTGACAGAACAAATAAGGAAAAATTTTAATTGGCTATAACAAAGTGAGCTGTGATCTTGCCTGACAAAAGTTGACGTGACTTGTACAGTGGCATTCTATATATGCCCACAATGGGGATTGTCACAAACTTTTGGTGGAAGTTTTTGGTGCAGTGTGGTCTGGGCAAACAATAAAATTGTGTTTGGAGAACAGGACAAGCATGCAGTTAGGCAGGGTGGCTATCAAGGAATGGTGGCTATAGGAGCTGAGGAAGGCAAAGTCTCAGGGGCCCTTTTAAAAACCACTGCAGATTTGTACCCAGCACTGAAACCCAGAGTGAGTGCAAGGAGGTGGCTTGTGGCATTGAGGGAAGGGAGGAGGGGGATGTGTAGACAGAGGTGATGGCACCAGTGGCCAGGTAGTACAGCAACAAAAAGCATGAAGTGGGATCTGGAAACTTTAATGAAGGGCAAAAAGGGAATCAAAAGAAGTGTTCAGAACTGATGGATTTGTGTTTGTGAGGAACATTTTGTTTAATCTGACTCTGTCTTTGGAAAATTTGGAGTGTGTAAATTCTGTTCTATAAAGCAAAATCGTGTTCTTGCCACAGCAGTTATATTAGAAACCTGCTTTTGGCCATCTCAAAACATCAGCTCTAGCAGTAAACGTCACTGAGAGCAATACAGGATGTGCCCTGGATACTCCGACGACGCTTGGATCCAGAGACATTTAAAGTATCCAAAGTGAGAGTTAAACCCTGATGAGCTGTCCCGTGAGTCCTTCCTTACAAGGTCTGAGCTGTGGCCGGGCATCAAACACGGAAAATATTCCCGGGAAAGGCCTCGGAGGCCGGGGGGAGCGGGCGGGGCGGCGGCGCCGCGCCGGCCTTGGGGCGCCACCCAGCGGCGCGGCCCCGCCACAGCGCGCTGCGGCCCCTCACGGGCCTGCGAGCGGGGTGAACCGCTGCTTCTGCTTCTGGTTCTGGTTCTGCTTCTGGTTCTGGTTCTGCTTTGTGCACGGCTCGCGTTGGAGGGAAAACTCCTGCTTTCTACGAAATTGTGTTGATTCTTTATTGCTTCCAAGAACTTCCAAAGAACTCTTGATTTCGCTGGGTTAGTTAAGCGCTGGGATAGTACGGATGAGGTGACATCCCTCAGAGAACATCCTGTGGTCCATAGCACAGGAAAGGGGAGATAAAAGAAGGAGAAGACAGAATGAAATACTCGCGTTGAGCACATGGAAGCAAAGGACTCTGCATTTTGCAAAAGGGCCAAAAATGGTAGGTGCTATTTTGTTTTTCAGTTAGTCTAAAGTGTGAAATACCCAGTTCTCAAAAAAAGCCCAACCACAGACCTGTGTGTTCATGCATGAGTCATGAACCATAAGCAGTCCTTCTTCAAATTAGCTGCCTCACTCTTAAACTCTTAGAGTTTGCTGGTAATTTTCACTTTAAATATTATTAATAGGGTGCAAAAAAAACAAATTAGCTTCTGAAGTTGGTAATCCATAAAGCTCAAAAGACATGTGACTGAATACTTATAAAAATGTGAGTAGACAGAAGAAAGAAGGCAGATAAAGGTGTCTATGTGTGCCAAAAGAACAAGAATGTCTTCCTGTGCCCTCTCCTCCTCCCCTTTTGGACCTGTTTTTTGGGGGAGAAAGGGGGAAACAGCCCTGTTTTAAAGGCTTCTTTCTTTCTTTCTTTCTTTCTTTCTTTCTTTCTTTCTTTCTTTCTTTCTTTCTTTCTTTCTTTCTTTCTTTCTTTCGTAGGAGGGCTATTTCTAGCTCTGACAACTCACTGACAACAAAGAATACTGTTATTTTTGCATTTGTAGTTTCTGTGAGAGCACTGTGGAGTTGTTTTATTTCTTGGGTGCTCAATGGATTACTTTGCTTTTGTTTACATTTACTTTGCCTTATCTTCAAGGCCAAGGTTTTCAGCACTTTTGCAAAACACAGCACTGCAGCTTTTTTCTTTGTAGGTTCTTCTGACTGCAAGGAACATTTCAGTTCTTAGTGGCTGTGCTTCAGTCCGGAAATGACCGTAGTGATTGAAGTTCCTCATAGCCCCAACACATCAATTTCGTGTGAGGAAATGCTTCATCACCCCTGCTGAGTGTCTGCACTGGAAACATGCAACCCCCCTGTGAACATGAAGACACAAACTTGCTGCTCCAGCCACTGTTTGAGGGACAGAATTATGGAGCTGCTGCAGAGGATGGCACAGAGTGTCCATCAGTGGCTGTGTCAAGGAACAATCCAGCAAAGAGGGATTGCCTGGTAGTTGCTGTGCTGTGCTTTGGGAATTTAATAAATTTCATTGATTGGTTCATTGTGCCAGGTGAGAACCCATTTTCCTCTTCTAAAGAAAAAGAAATTTAAGTTCTTAACAGCTCTACAAATGTTCCTGAAGTAAGGATATGCTTTATGTCTTTTTACTTTCTCTCATTTATCTGCTTTAGCCTGTTGATCATACTCTTAATGAAACTTCCAGTTATAAATCTGGAAAGACCTAGGAGTGATTTACTAGATATTAATAGTTAGTAGAATGCTTATAAAAATAAAAGAATACTTTAAAATCTAGGTATCTTATAAACAGACTTTAGCATAAAGGGCAACTGGTCCATGTTTGTGGCTGGATTCTACAGAGGTGTGAGTAAGGAGCTTCCCTTTACTGTGCACAGCAGTTTGTTTACAAGGCCTTCTTTGCATCTAGTAGATTCTATATGTTATTCCTTTATCTGAAGAATACTGATGCTATTCCCTCCATTACAAGTTCAAAAACTATGTGATCTTTGTGATAACTTTGTTATCCATGTTCTTAGGGGAGGCTTAACTTCCTTGTGAGCTGCTGGCAGTCGTGTGATTTCTGCAATTAAGAGTGAAACATGATTGCAGAAAAAGAACAGAGACCCACTTCCTTAAGCCTACTCCCACCCACAAGTTAGGACTTGTTGTCTAATAAATCATATCCTTCCTCCAAAATATGATTTTTAAACAATTTTTTTTTCCCCAGCTGAAAACTACCAAGAATTTCTTATAGTAAACTGGGGGGGAAATATGGAACTTTTTCTCCCATATAAATTGTGGTCTGTGTAAATTCTTCTATTTAGTACTACTCCTAAGCATCTCCCATCTTCCAGGGATCCGATTTAGAAAATAGGGGAAGCACTTGTTGTGAACTTGCTATATTTTACTTCTGAGTAACCTGGGAAACAGAAATATTTTAAACCTTGAAAAAACCCAAAGGATGGATTCTTGAGTTTGGAATTCATACCTAGTTACAGCACACAAAGTAATTATTTTGCTACTTCAACTATTCAGAAATGTAGGACAGTTAGTCAGTATCTTTAAAAATGGAGAGTGTAGTGGGTTTAAGAGTTTGAGCTTGGTTTTTTGAGTACTTTTTAACAACACAAGAGGAAAGGAAGCAAGTAGGAGTGCAGTTGGAATGCATGCTGAATGACACTGCAAGGCTGCGAGTGAAAAACTTCTGTGTATGAGTTCTGTTGTCAAGCAACTTTCCTTGGAGAGGGGCAGGGGACAGAAGAGGATGAAAACATCTTCAAGGAAGAGCTTGGATGCTAGAAGGGTGTCCCCTTGGGAGGGTTAAGATCAAGAAACCATTTGACTCATTCCAAGCTTTGAACTATTCAGGGGCTCCTGAACCAGCTAAGAGCTTAAAATTCTCCCACCATGCTCCCAGGTACCTTCAGGGACATGCAGGAATTCAAGAGCAGAGGTGAGGATAGTGCCCAGGCCTTTGAAACATCTCCTTGAATTACACTGCATGACTAAACCACATTTTACTTGGTTCTATGACTGCTGGGCCATGGGGAAGTCTGTAAGTTGCAGTTTATACCACAGCAATAAAATCCTGTTCACCTGCTAGAATTCAGTGCCACTGCAGAATTCTTGCAGCAGTGCGTTTGAGTTTGGCTGTCCAAGTGTGTGACCGTGTTGTTAGATTCAGCTAACAGGAAAGGGAGGAAGGGGAGGTGTGAGTATCTGCTTAGGAGAAAACTGGCAGCAGTTACAAAGTTGTGGTTTCCGGATAGTTTTGCTCTCTGGCTTTGACAGTGTTTGCATCACAGAAAACAAGCTCTTCCCCTTAGTTGTTTGCTGACTCCAGTTTGTTGAAACTAGTGACCATGCAGACCTTTTCCCTCTTTTCTGTCCACCAAACAGTTCAAATCAATGCTTTGTAATTTGCCAGGATCTGGCAGAGTCAGTTATTTTAGTTATGTGGAGGGGATGACATTTTAATGGTGCTCAGTGTGAATGTTAGTTTGAGATGAAGTTGTGGTTCTGTTCAAGTCTTGTTAGCTGTGATTTGTTCTAAATACTCCATGAGACCAAACCTGAATTCCTCTAATACAGTATTTCTGTGCATTGATCACTGGCTGCCAGAAAGGAAGGATATAATTGATTGTCCTGTTTTAATGATGCAAAATGTTTGAATTAAATCTCTTGTTTAAACTTTTGAAACCATTAGGAAACCCCTACATGTAAAATATGTTCAAGAGTCACTGAGAAACAGCTGTAAACCTCTGGAGCTGCTGTTAGGCTGGACCTTGATCTACAGTGACTTGAAGTCACATCAGTAAATAGTGAGTGGCCTGATTCTGCAGCCATGGGGACTGTGGGAGAACATGGATTTACCTTTAAATTAGCTGGTCCCACACTGCTTTTAAGTGGCTGGAGCAGTGTAGTTCATGGCACAATTTGTAAAGCACAGTGTGGGAGAAGAGGTGCCTCTTGCTGGCTTCACCCACTCCCTTCTGCTGCAGATGAGCTCCTGTGAACACAGCAGGCAAATTACACAGAACTTGTTCTGTTAAGTAGTGGTGGTTTCATCCTCTTAAAAATGTTATGGCTTTATCTATTTTGACAAAAATGAAGTGGCATGAGAAGTAAATGTTTTTTTTAAGTGACATCTTTCAATGCTGGAGTACGGGTATTTTTTCAAAGCAGTATCTTCTATTTTCAGTTGGTTTTCAGCAGTGTAAATTGGAAATACAGAAAGGTGAGATGGAAGATCTGCAGCTCTGGCATGGTGTAGAGAAGAAAATGACCTTTGTGTCTGAACATCCACTGTTTTCTTCTACATTGTGTCCATTAAACTTTGAACTCTAAATTTTTCATATTCTTAGGTGCTAATGGTGCAAAAGAAGCAGAACAGGAGTGGTTAAAATAGTGCATAAACTGATTTTCATAAGACCCTTATAGTAGAAAGTCATTAGTTTTATCTATAGCAATAAGAATTTTTAATTCTCTGTGCATCTTATGCTTATAGTAGAATAATAGCTTACATCTAAACTAAAAACTAAATGTGCTGCAGTTCTTGCAAGCCCTGTTTTTGGGTGGTAGTTACCAGGATTAGCAGGGTGCTTTGCTGTCGTTCAATGTCTGCCTCTGTTGCAGGGATCCTGTTGGATATACAGAAATACTTCAGGCTCAGTGATGGGAAGACAGGTCTACTGCAGACAGGTAATAAAATCTCCTCAGTTCAGAGAGCTGACTTTGCCTTGCCCCTCTGTGGTCTGCTCCTAAAACACAGTCCAGTTTCTTAGCTCTTCTAGTTCCTCCTTCTATGTGGTATTGCTCACTTCCACTTGTGGGCAGGCTGACTATAATGCAAAACTGAAAATCAGACTAGAGTTGGGTCCTTCAAAAATCCCACAGTATGTGAATCACAAAAGATGAAGGGTTTCTCAAGAAATACAAGAGTTGAGTAATTCACATACATTCATATTGTTTAATTCAATTCACATCAATTCAATGCACATACATTTTATTGTTGTATAAGTATTTTGAGTCTGCATTTGTCTTTTTCCAAATACCAATCCTCCTCCTAGTCCTAGAAACTCAGCCTGCCTTTAAAGCCTGCCCTAAAAATAACCTGAGTTTATCTGAGGGCTGAGCAGTACGTGTGACAAAAACATTTAGATAAATATTATCTTTGTTCATTGTTGGATTTTCAGTCTTCACCTTGTGTTACATGCTGGCTGCCCCCATCTTTGGATACCTTGGAGATCGCTACAACAGGAAGATCATCCTTGGAGCTGGTATTTTCTTCTGGTCTGGTGTGACCTTGGGGAGCTCATTCATCACTGAGTCAGTATGTTGCTTTTTTAGAGGGTGCTATGGAAATAACCTGCATGCATCTTGCAGGACTTGATAGAGTCCTTCTCTAATCACGTTTGGAAAAGCATCAGTGACCACTCATTTCCCGAGCCTTAAGCCTGGACTAAATATGCTCCATGCAGGAATGCCTTAAAGGACTCTGGAGTCTAGCCTAGGCAATAGAGAGCCCATACATTATTGTTGTGATTGATGGGGTTTTATTTTTGTGCAGAATGGTTTTTGTTTATGACCTTACAGTTTGCTTGTTACATGTGTTCTATCCACCCTGTCCTGAAATTCCCTCTGGGTGTCACTCTGAGAAGTCACTGCTGTGCAGAAAGAAAAAGCCAAGCAGTGAGATGTGAGGGGAGCAGGTGTGAGTGGAGGGAATACAGACACAGGCAAAAGGCAGTGGAATTCTGATTTCCTCTGGTAGATTTCATCCACTAAAATGCCCCTCTTTAGCAGTAAGCTTTCTTTCTGTTTCTTTCTTTCTTTGCATGGACTTTTTTGACTATAATATGTCTTTTCCCTGCAGCATTACAGGATATTTGTTCTTTCGCGAGGATTGGTTGGCATTGGCTCTGCCAGTTACTCCACTATAGCACCTACCATCATTGCAGACCTGTTTGAGGAAGGAAAAAGGACCACAGTGTTATCTATCTTCTACATTTTCATTCCAGTGGGAAGGTTGGTTTTCTTGCAGTGGCCTTTTGAAATTCTGTCTGACCACACCTGCAATTCAATATATCCTGAGCCCTAATCAGATTTATTTTGATATATTTCTTTATTGGCTCTTACAAAGGGATTTGTCACTTCCTTGGCAAGTTTGAATAGAGCTGATTAGGTGTATTTCTCTACTTACCTTGAGAAAAATTTGCTTTTCCCCCCCTAATATTTTTAGGGAGAATCTAGACTCCAGCAACTCTGGCTTTGAATAAAATATTGAGTCAATTCTAAAAGAAATATGTGCATGAGAGTATGTAATTTATTTCTGTGTTTTGGGAGACAAAAGCTTTTAGATATTAGTTTATTTGACAGATTTTTCAAGAATCCTCCATTAAATGTTTCCCAAGGAAGAACTGGTACTTCCCTCTCCTCTTTTAGTTAAATTGACATTGTGTCTGAAGCAAAGGTGGAGAAGAGCTTTTCAAATGGTTTAGAGGCATATTCTGTATCAGAGCAGGCAGCCAAGGCTGGGTCCAGAAGGCAGATTAAAACTAAAGAAATTCCTGCAGGGCATAATTCCTTTGGCTAGCACAGGAGGGAGTAGGTAATAAAATGTTTTATGGGCTCTTTGATCCAGGTTTGCAGTGTCATTCTACAGAGTATGTATTCCAAGGGGAATCTGGGACATTACTGTCATCATCTCAAGTCTGCTCTGAGGAGGTTAGACTCTCTTTTTAATACTGGCTGCCAAGCAGACTAGCACAGACCATGAGGGTTATTTCTGTTTATCCCTTTGGAAAACTATGACAGAACATTCTCCTTAGCTGGCAAGACACATCATTTCAGCAATCCAAAATTCATTGGTGCTTACTGACCATTCCTTTCTGCTGTTTGCAGTGGCTGTGGTTATATGCTGGCAGCTGGCATGGCAAAAAGCACAGGTGACTGGCACTGGGCATTCAGGGTGAGTCATTTTCATTCACTGTAACACCAAAATCATCACTGGGGTTTGGATTCTTTATATTCATTGTGTTCAAGGTGAGCAGTGGGAGGACTTCCTACCCTCTGACAGGTCAGGAACGTGGTGTTTAGGAGAAGTTTTCCTGCAGAACAAGTGGCAGATTTCTGCCTAGCTCTCATAGGTGTAGGTGAAATTGTACAGCAGCCAAGGCAGGTGCTGAAGTTCCTCTTACCTGAGAGCACACTTGGAATGGTTGTTACTGCACCAAGACCTCCTCAAACAGAGGAATTTGAAGGTAGAATTAATCATTGTACTGGTAGCACCAGTTTCTGGAATGCTGCTGGGAACAACTTCTTTGTATACAAAATCAGCTAGCACATGCAGCTGAGTGGGGCAGAGTATTTAGCTGAGTAACACGATGTTCTTCAGGTAACATTGGTGACTGCATCAGTGATTCTTGTGTTTGTGGCTAGAATACTACAGTACAGTTTTCTTTCTTCACATTTTTTTGTTTAAATCAGAGGGAGGAGCAATCAGGTATCTGTATGATGGGGAGGGAAGATCTATTATCTTTTCTTCAAAGTCACCAAAGTCACTCTTTTTCTTTAAAAATATGATCTAAACTAGCACACAACTATTTCTGAACATACTGGAAATTTCTGATAGTGATTCTAATGCACTTGGAAGAAAACAGCTATCTTTGATCTAACCAACCTTGTGTCTACAGGTAACTCCTTGCATGGGAGGACTGGCACTGCTTCTCCTGATTCTACTGGTCCCTCACAAGATCCAGAGAAAGACAGCAGCACACAGAGCACTGAGCATCTCTGGCATGATAGGAAGAGCAGATGAGAAGCCAGATGTACACAGAACTACCAAGACTACTTGGTGTCAAGATGTGGGATCACTGGTCAAGAAGTAAGTGGTTTGAGCTACAAAGGCTCCCTCTGTTGAGGAATCACTATTCCATTATAAGAAATATGTCCACTGAGTCCCACTTTGCTCCTTTGAGCCACATGCTGTATGCAAGAGGATGGAAACACCATTAGTAAAAATCTTCTTTCCACTTTTTTACAGGAATGCTGCAAAAGAGATAAAAAATTTCTTTGTTTCTTCTATCTTCCCATTTTGAGGAGGGGGAAGGGGGTGAAGTTATGTTGGCAGTTTGCTCCTATTTGAATCCAAAGCTCTACTTTATACTACATTTTCCCTTCCCTACAGGAGCTAGATTGGTAAAAGTGCATAATTTTCTGGTGTAAATTTATTTATAATTCTTAGCACCCGAGGAAGGTTGGATTAGCATGTCCCAGGCACTCTGTGGTATTTGAGAACCTGCTGTGCATGAGGTCAGAGTTTGTGGGACCCCCATATGCTTTATAAAGTAGTTGTCCATGTGTTTTGATGGGCTGAGCTGTGGCTGGCAGATGACATCTTCCTTTTAACCACACAAAAATTAAAGATGCAGCTCACCTGCAGGGTAGAGTAAAACGAGGACTGGAGCAGGTTGCTCGCTCCTGTGCCCCCGCAGCCAGGCCGTGCCAGGCGGTGCCAGGCGGAGCCAGGCCGTGCCAGGCCGTGCCAGGCGGTGCCAGGCCGTGCCAGGCCATGCCAGGCGGTGCCAGGCCATGCCAGGCCGTGCCAGGCCGTGCCAGGCGGTGCCAGGCGGAGCCAGGCGGTGCCAGGCCGTGCCAGGCCGTGCCAGGCCGTGCCAGGCGGTGCCAGCACAGGACGAGGCGCTGGAGCGGCTTTGGGAACAGCAGGTGCCGCTGTGCAGCTGCGCCAGGCAGCTCCGCCTGCCGCTGCCGCAGGCTGCTTTCCAACCCAACGCTTTTCCTTTAAAGACTTGCTTTCCTGGGACATCGTTTGTCTTTGGAATGTTCTTCCAGATGATCCAGCGTTTTCTAGCTGCCCGCTAAATCTGCATCCTCTTTACATCCTGAATAGCGGGTACATTAGAGATCGGTTTTGTAGGATCACAATTTGTAGGCACTACATCCTGAAGTGAATTTAAAAACATAATTTCCTGAATCAAAAATGAACTTTTCTGACATTTCAACAACTAGACTATCTCCAAAGTTGCTTTCCTACAGAGATGTTTGAGTGTAAAAAATATATCTTTTTCTTTTCTTTCCCTTTAGCAATTGATTCCCATTTTCTTTTCCTTGGACAATTGATTTCCAAAGCATAAAGACATACTGCCAAAACACTATGTGGTTCCACTTTTAACCAAGTCCAAGAGTACTTTATCTTTAGGAAATAGAGAATTAGGTTCATTTCTTAACAAATCCTCTAGTTTGGTGGTCACATGATCATTTGCAGCATGCATCTCTATTGACCTCAAAGGAGATTTTTTCCTGAACTATTAAGGACAAAGAGTCAGGCAAAAATTTAATTTTCTCCTAGGATAGGGCAGGAAGGAGACAAGGTTTGGACAGTTTTCAAAAATGTTTCTCCTTTTGTCTGAAACTTGCTGTGGAGATTGAATCTATTTTTACTCTGTCAGGTAGGGTTAAGGAGTGCTCCAGCCCAGCTCAGACCCAGACGTTGCTCTCATTTATACTGGTTACAGAAACAGCTTAAAACCTGAGGCATTTAGACTTGAACAGAGAATCCTTTCCTTTAGGTACTAAGCCATTAAATTCTTGCTCACTCTCTATTGTTATACTTCTGCTATCAAAAAATTCACAGCAATTGTTTTGGCAGAAGTTGGCATGAAATCTGCAAGAGACCAGGATTTAACATTAAATCAGTAGGTCATACCCTTTGCTCTAATTAGTGCTTTATTGTTGAATTTCATAATAAAGCCTGATCAGAGTTCAGATATTCAAGGGAGTGGATTTTGATTACAAGATGTCTGAACGCATTGTTTTGTTATTGCTTGAAATCCTGGGTGTTGCAGGTAGGTTTTCCCTTTTTCCTCACACCATTCTTTCTAATATCTCTCAGCTGGTTGGTTTTTTTTTTCTACTTTCAGCTGTAGTTTTGTCTGTTCCTCACTGGGTCTCACTGCCATGGCCTTTGTCACTGGAGCCCTGGGAATGTGGATGCCTCTGTTTCTGTACAGAGCTCAGGTTGTGCAGGGCCTTGTCCCACCATGCCTCCAAGACTCGTGCAATTCATCTAACAGGTGAGCTGTGCCTAGGGAGCACACCTGGAAACGCTGCAGGGTGCTCAATCACAGCTGGTTTCCAGAGGGGAGGGCAGGATGTGACCCAGCGCTTCTCGTGAAGGCAATGGGCTGTGAATGTTAAATTGCCTCCAGGTATCTGAGACACTCCCCTTTGGTTGTTTGTTTATAATCACTCAGTTAACTGGAAAGATGCTGCCAATTTAAGTAAAGTGGGAAGAAGCAGTAATAGTAACAGTTGTGGGGGAAAAGGAGAAGCTTTAGCAAGGAGTTTTTAGTTGACAAATGACTGTGCACCCCAAGTTACTTAAATGCCCATTTAAGTATATTTGAATCTTGTGTTGTAGTAACTTGCCTATTATCTTCTTCTTATTCTGTTTTCATAATCGATGCCGTGTTGGTGAGTTCATTGTGGCTGCCAGCTTGAAGAAAGCTTGCTGATTTTTATGTAGTATCAGATCATCACACCAAACCAGGATCTTGTGAATAGCTGCCAGCAGAGCTCTGCTTACAGAGCATGTCCAGACCAATGAAGATTCATTAACAGTATCAAATATTGTATAAGAAGGGGAATTTACACTAGTAGAACACTTTGAAGTAGTCAAGACACACCTTTTTGTACATCCCTTTTCCCCACCAAGGAAGAGAAGCTTTTCTTCACAGTGTGTTGTCCAGAATACAAAAATGTATTCAGTGTTCCTCTTGAGTCTTCACAGCTTCCCTCAGTAACAGTGAGCACTGGGACTGACTCCTGGCAGTGGTCTCCATACAAGTATCCCTTTCTCCAGGAGGTACCCCAAGTCTTGTTTCAGTCTCTGCTTTTGTAATGGATTTCAGAGAGCTAAGTGCTTACTGCATGGCCTTTCCAGGTAAAGACACTTAAAGGGAAAAGCAGTAATCACACCTTGAATGTATCCTCTGCTAATGGGATTTTTCTGTCTTTCTGCAATGGAATAACTGAGTCAAATCAGAAGTGAGTTGTAGCAAAACCAGATGGATTGAAGAATCATCCCAAAATCCTTCAATGGGAAATGAATTGTCCTTCCAGGGATGCAATCAGTGGCACATTACTTATCAATGAACAGTACTGGGAAGAGAGTGAAATACAGGAGTCTGGCTCAGGGTAGGCAGATGAGGGAAGCCGAACAGTTTAAGATGTTTGGCTGTATCTGTTCACAGATGCACTTCAAGTACTTCCTTTGTCAATTTGAAGGTGTTGGCCTCTAGTTTGTTTTCTAATCCACTTCTGAATTATTATTCCACAGTAGTGTTTTTAGAGCAGACATGGTCTTCAGGGAAGTGAAACAGAGCATTTGATAGTTTAACCTCATGTACTGCTTCTTATAGGATGCTTTTAAATCTAACCTTGGCATAAGCTCATGCCAGAAGCAGTGTAAGGCTGGTTTTGGAATGTTATTCCAAGGGGATGTAAAGAAACAGAATATAAACTACTATGTCGGTCCTGATGGTGCTGGAGGAACTGAGCTGCACATTACCAGACCTGCCCAGGGATACTTTTAAAGATGTTTTTCCCTCTGGCTGTTCAGCAGTTTCAGACTTTGTTTAAGGATCAGGACTGTGTCCCTTAGACTCCTTGGAACACAGACTCAAATGGCACCACAACTGATTCAAGTCTCAATCCTTTCAATGTAGATAAATAGGCAGCGTGAAGTTTTTGTTCAGGTCTTTGTGCAAACACTTTCAAACAGATCAGAGAGATAAGTGAGCATTCTCAGACCCTTAAGGATCCCACAGGAGCCTTTCCCCAGTACTAGGCTTCTGTACTTTCCTACTCCTGTCAACTGAACTATGCTTGGATTTAGTTTTGGCCATTCTCTTTTATTCCAACTGCAGGTTTATTTCAACTTCAGTTTACAACACATGAACATTCTAAACACAATTCCCTGAATGCTTCAATCAACTAATGTCACCTTGGAACTTGCCTCTCTTGAACAAATGTCTGAGATTATTCTGCCAAGTGACAATCTATAATGTCACCATCAAGCTATAGTCAGTGATGGATCAGAATCCTGAAGAACTTGCATGGAGAGTACAAATTTTCTTCAAGTTTGTTATCTTGCATAGCAGTACCTTTTTTTTTTTTTTCTTGTAGAATTATTGAGTTCTTCCTAATCAGCCAGAAAGAAACTAAGAATTGGATGTTCTGTAGTTTAAAGGAACAGATCATGTCCCAGCTAGTTACTTTGCTTTGCAGTTAGAAAAAGTTCAGGAAAATGTACAGAACTTGCCATGTAGCACTCTAAAATATTCAGAAGCACTTGTGCTCAGAATACATTGATCCTGTCCCTGCTTGCCTTCAGAGAATTACAATGCAGTGGCACCACTGATCTTGGGCAAGAGACTTGCTTTGTCATTGGGGGGGTCTCACTGGGACAGAGACAAAAGCACACATGCAAGTCCCTTTGGAAGCTGAATCTTCTAACTATTCAGACATGTTCCTTTAAAACATGAACTTTTGGTTCCTGAAGAACACATTTGCATTTGCAGACACACAAAGCTGAATGGTATTGGAAACTCTGTGTTCAGAAAATGATACGTGGACCTGGCAGTAGTTACCTATTCAGTATTCTTTGAACTCTTCTGGGAAGTGGTAGGTGTTTCCCATAGTCAGAGAAGTGACTCATCTCAGCTGTGCTAACCAGAGGGTTATAATTTAGATGTGTATCATTCCACGTGCTAGGATCTCTTCCAAGGCAGCAGATTGTGATACAGGGTTACTCCATCTGTGTTTCAGGGATGACTGGGTAGACTGATTCACAGGGTAACCATGATGACTCTGTCTCCTCTAAATCACAGCATGTCCAAGCCAGATCATACAGAGCAGAGCCCTCCCTGAGCCTGGGTGCATAACACCTGCTCTGTAAATGGGAAAATATCTTCTCCAGGGGATACAGCCACCATTGCAAAGCCATTGCTTCAGCTGGGGCTTGGGATTACCTCCATTTAGAAGGAGTGGGAGGGTCACATCAAGTGGAATAAAAGTCAACTTCCCTATTAAAGATTCCTCTGAAACTACAGGTACAAGCTAACACCATTTATTTTTCCACAGTACAGTTTTACTATGCTCAGCTGAATCCTTTGCTTTGTCACCAGCCTTATATTTGGAGGCATCACCATTGGGACAGGAATCTTGGGTATTATTGCTGGGGCAGAAGCTGCAAGACGTTTAAGGAAGATAAACAACAAAGCTGATCCTCTGATCTGTGCCACAAGCATGTTCATTTCTGCCCTGTGCCTCTACATAGCTCTGATGGTGGCCCAGACAAACATCCTTTCCACTTTTGTAAGTGACAATTAGCAAAATGTCTTTTGGCTAGGGAGAATGGGAAGGGGGAGGAGGAGGCGAGGGGTGGCTTTTGCAGAACTCTCTGCAGTCTTCTAGACCATTAAGAGGTTTCAGTGACTTGTGGCAAGGTATCCAGGTAAGCTGTGGGCTCTGATGCTCTCTTAGATGAGGTCTGTCCTGTGAGAGCCACGCTGGGCAGTCCTTGGTACAGAATAAAGGGCAGACAGAGCACAAAAATTGGGCTTGAGGTCCTGCAGAGTGCCCACACTGAAGAAGAAAATAGTAACTATGCATTTAGGTGCGTTGAAACATGTCCCTTATGCAAAAATGTAGTTAAAACAAGTCTCAATCTTATGTTAATTTTTAATGCTTTGTGCCTAATTTAGTATTCTTATTTATTTTTGCTCTCTTAATACTTAAGGGTTGGTGTAGTTGGGACTGTACAATACACACTGTTCTAGCTAAGAATAATTTAGCCCTCACCTTCAAAGCCCCAGATCACTAGCCGATCTTCAAAGTCAAGCTTTTGGCAATACAAACTGAAGTATAAATCATTTAAATTCCATTCTCGGCAAAAGGGAAAACAGAAACTTACTAGGAATGACAAAAAATCCCTGTAAGAGGGAACTGAATGTAAACCCTATTTCAACTGTAATCTGGTAACAGCTGGGGAAAGACTCCTGTGCATTTTTTCTGTGACTCCACAGCCAAAATCACCATGATTAACATGTAAAGTAAAGTAAATTACAGTAATCAACAGTTCTCTGCAAAAGGGCACTTTTGCATGTTTTTTGCTTCTAAGAATAATGCTTGTTCAAAGAGGTTTTCCTTCTGACTCCTCAGGAATGTGTATTCCTGTGGAAAAACACCTTTACACCAAGAGAAAACACAAGTGGATTGGCCTGTCTAAGTGTGTGCACACAAAGCAAAATGGGAAGTGTGAAGATTATTTTGGATCCAATAGTGGGGATCTGAGCGCCCAGAAGAATTACCCGTTGTCTTTTTCTGCTTCTCAGAGTCCCACAAGCTCTACTCATAGTGTGTTCCTCAGGGGATTTTTTGTCATTAAAGGTAGAGAACATCAGTTTAATTTTCCAGTGTGTGTTAGATGAGTGAATCAATGTATTTGGTTTGAACTACCAAAACATACCTTTTATTAGAATCATGGAATCACAGAATCATAGAATCAGGGTTTGGAGTTGGAAGGGACGTTAAAGCTCATCCAGTTCCACTCCCCTGCCATGGGCAGGGACACCTTCCACTATCCCAGGTTGCTCCAAGCCCTGTCTAACCTTGCCTTGAACACTTGCAGGGATGGGGCAGCCACAGCTTCTCTGGGCACCCTGTGCCAGGGCCTCACCACCCTCAGAGGGAAGAATTTCTTCCTTATATCTAATAATATATTAATTATAATATCTCTATCTGAAGCATTGTGAAGGAAAAGATGTCTTGATAATGGTCTATACTAAGTTTATCAATGCTTCAAGGAACATTTTTTCCCAGACTGGTTTGGAGAAGGAAACAAATGAACAGAACAGACAAGAGCCAGATGATGTATGGATATCCTAGGTCTATTATCCATATTTATTACCTACAGGATATCTATAGGTATACTAGGTCTAGTTCTCCTTAGGAGAATGTAAGCCACCCCTCCAAAAACGTCTGAGTTTGTCACTGTGCCTTTCCTAGGCTGTGTTTTCATCAACCAGGGACAACATCTTGTCAAAGGCCTTATCAAACACAGTGCTGGCACCTGTTGTAACAATGTGCCATCAGTCTGATTAGTAGATAAGAATATTGTGCCAGGTGCCATGTGACTTTGTGGCCTGTGTTTCTGAAGAGATTCTGCTTTCTAGCATTGCTCCACCTCAGTGGTGTAACTTTAATCCTTTAATCCTTTTCCTCCTTTAAGTCTCGCTTAGTCTGGGCGGGCTGCTCCAACCTGTGTCCAGGGCTGGCTGAAAGGGTTAATATTTTCTGAGGCCACAGCTATAAGAACTGTTCAGTGCCCTACCCCTTTTCCTCATGGCTGGGTCTCCATCTGTGATGGATTAGGGATTTCCCACAGGACACCAAGGTTTTGAGACTGCCTGTCCCTTGGAGTCCATTCCATTTTGGAAGTTCTCTCTCTGAAGGAGCCCTAAGAGTACTTGTACTGGCCCAGAGGTGTTCACTTGGCTTCATTTGCATCCCTGTGCACTTTGTAAACCTGTGCTGAATGTTTCTCTTCCATGGATCTTGCTTTCTCTTCTTGGGTTCAGTAGTTCATAGCAGTTAATTTGGGAGGCTGGTATACGTTTCCTATTTTGGCTCTTCTGCTGAGGAATTGTGACCCAAACACCTTCTTTGATTCTTTTCCCCACCTTTAAGGTGAAGTTAGTGTTTGTAAGCATAGACAGAGGTGTTTAATTTAGAAGTAATGGGTATGTAGGACAACTCTTACATAGATAAGCACAGTCAGTGAGCCTGCCTCATCCTCACAATATAGAAGGGCAATGCAGAGTATAGTATAGTATAGTATAGTATAGTCACTGCTTTGTTTCTGTTTTGCAGATTTTTATTGCACTTGGAGAACTGTTTTTGTCTGTAAACTGGGCTGTTGTGACAGACATACTGCTGGTAAGTGCTCATGAAACTGTTTCCTTATTTCAAGGTTTTGACAATGTAATATTGTTCCTAAACCTGCATCTTGGTGGCCTTCTGGGGACAGATGAACAAACTCCTACAGAGAATCCCCTTGTTGGTATCCTGCTTGGAATCACTGCCACAATGTACTGCTGGGCAAGGATGCCAGTGGCAATAAGGGTGTGGTGGTGCAGTAGTCCAAGTTATTATAATCCCAGGAAGATGTCCTGATTTGGGTGGAACTCATGCATGTGGTGCTCTCTAGTGCTGTATGTAATACCCATAGTATTTTGGGCTTCTGTACAGCTGTGTTGTCAGACATCTGCTAGAAAATGGCCTGCTCCAGAAACAAGGTAATTTTGTGTCTATAATCAGGTTTTCTACTTGTTTTCCAAAGGTTTGAAAGGATGATCCCAATGAGGCAAAGTTGGTAGTCCATGAACTATTAGCAAGTTCCCTTAGTTCAGAATACAGTGCAGATGAATTCCAGCCCTTGCAAGTCTAACTCATAAGTGTGCTACACTGCCAGAGCATCAGGCCAGCAGTGATGCTTAAGGGGCTCTTGGGAATTCCAGGACTTGGGAAATCACAAGCCAAGGAACAGCAGTGCATGATTTCATTTGGATTCTGTCATCAGTAATTTCTTTAGAAAGGAGTGATGTGAAAAGCACACATCTTGTAGCACAGTCTGTCTAGACTGTGATAAGCAGCTTCTTTTTATAATTTCAAAGGTTTTCAGAGCTAATAATTTTACTTGAGTTTTTACTCTAAATAAAAATTTGGCAACCTTTCATTTAGGTTGTAGCTCCACAGTCACTAATAGATGTCTGTGTAAACCCTGGGGCAGATACTATAACTGCTGAGCTACACAGATCATTATAGTCTTATCAACTAGTTTATATGACTTTTTTTTAAAAAATAATCTATAATATGAACAAGTTGAATATGGTTTATCAGTGCAATAAGCAAAGAAATGCTCATATCTGATGGACTGCAGGAAGCTGATTTAAACACCAAAGTTATTTATATGATTGACAATTCTTTTCTTGCTACCTATGGCCATAAGACAAAATATTTAAATTTACACTACCCTTTTCTATGAGGAATAGATCACCCAAGGGACCCAAACTCTACTTTGGGATCCCTGTGCTGAGAAACTGTGGATGTGATGGTAACACTAATATTTCAAGCAGGAAGCTCCCTGTGAGACAGGGACTGTTCAGACAAGTGTGGTCCAGGCACAGTGCTGCTGCAGGCACTGAAAGTGGGGAAATTGGAAAGCCATCAGGACAAGTGAGAGAAGGCACAAAGTTAAGGGACAGCAGAAAGAGATCTTTGGCTGTTTCTTCCCAAGCAAAAGACATGTGAGTGTTTCCCATTTTATGTAATAGTGTTTCATTCTAAGGAAGCTGAAATCTATTTGCAGATTGCTGCTGCAAACTTCATGGTCATTATAAATCTTTCATTTGAGAACCACAGTGAGTGCATTCTTGTGTAGCACAACATGCAGTGATGCACAACAGCAGTTCACAAGAAGGACAGGAAAAAAACCTTGCAGCCAGTGGAGCACAGGTCACTGGCCCTTGCTATCACAGTTAGAACTGGCAGTTTACCCCTGAGGTCACTGCACTGTGGTCTGAGTTGCTCTGATATACAAATTGCTTGGTATCTCTACTGGCTAACTGAACCCAAGTAGTGGACAAGCTGAGCAGAGATGAAAGTATTCCTATTACAGTGTAAAAGGATGAGAAAGTATATTGCCAAATGCTGAGCACTCTCTAGTGACCAAAGGGACCAGCTGTGAAGCACTGCAGAGCTCTCCTTCCACTGCCTGACCTTGCCTTGGTGTGAGTCTGCTTAACTTTATATTTCATAGCTGAAGAGCCTCTCTTTACATTCTGATTGAGATGAAGGAATGGAACTACTTACATTTCATGGGTCTTCAGCAAAGTCCTGCTGACACTGACTGTGCATTATGTTCTCTTTCACGGTGCTGCTCTCTGCATGTCAGTTTTCTGCATCTGGAATTTTAATAAAATAGTAAATAATGCAGTCAGCATTAGTCAATTGGCTGCTTGCTTAAAATCTCAGCCAGCAGCCAGGAGGGTTTTGATTCTTATTTGACTCTCACAGAATGGTCAGAAACAATTATCCTATGAGAAAAGAGCTGAAGCCTTGCAGCAGTGAACAGGTGCAGAAAAACTGTCACTGGTCCAGACTGACAGTTTTACTTATGTTCTATTTCAGTTTATTTTGAAATAATTGGGCTTTATTTTTTGCCCCAGAAGAAAGTATAAATACCATTGCCATTCTTTTTACATGAGTTGAGGCACCAACTTTTTAAAGTTTCTCAATTTGCTTTTCTTTGAACTCCTACATCTGCATTTTTATTCTGTCCTCTGTCACTGTTAGAGAGGAAGGTGACATCACTGAGTTGATAATGGTGATACATGGTGAGGAGAGTGAGGCAGATGGTTGCTGTCAGCTCTTTCTTTCAATTCCTTCCTGAATCCAAACAGAACTTTTGTTCAGTTCCATCACTCCAGTCTCAGCTTTCTGAGGGAATGCTACATCACATTGCAGCCTGCAGGAGATCTGTGGGGAGCATCATTGTCATATCCTGGATCCATGTAGATCTAGAAGAGGAGGAAGTTCTTGTCTCCCAGGTGACCAACATCCCTAACTTCCATTTCTTTTAGAATATTGTGGGATTAATTAGCAGCAATATTGTATCAATTGGGAACAACTGGGGAGGTGAAAATTTTGGCATATCAGAGCTCTGTGGTGCTGTGTTCCCTGGGAACAGACATCAAGTTTATTACCACAAATGTGCTTTGGGTTGGATCTCTTGAATTCTAAATGCTACTAATTGTTTCATCAGAAAATTATGGAATTGAGCTGAATTTGTACACTCCTGCCAAGGTGTGGGGTCCTGGGCAGTCACTGTGGCCAGGCAGGACCCCATGGCTTCTTCAGAGTCCCTGTGGGAAGGTGTCTTTTGTTTCTTTCTGGTGAATCCCCCAGTGCCTTGAGCTCTTGAGTATAGTTTCTCTTGTGCAGAAGAACCCGAGTAATAGCACAGGCAGAGTTTGTATGAGCCCTGAAACTGTAAGAAACACCCCATCCTTCTCTCATATTTTTCTTGTTACAGTTTTGTTCCATCTCTTGTAGTTGCAGATATGGGGAATTAAATAAAGGTAGCAAGGAAGTAGTGCAAGGCACTGGGAGAGCCAAAGTACATTTAGCTTTTCTCATGGTTCAATGTCCATGGTATATTAAGTGCATAACAATATTTGATTTTCATTTCTCAAACACAGCCTGTCATGATCCATAAAAGAAATTTGAGTCTAGGACAGATGACATGAAAACCTTGGAGAGCCAAGGGCTGACAGTCTCCAATCTAGTACAGTCTGTCATTGCCAAGTCTGCTTACCAAGCTCAGAGTTTCCTATTGTGTTTTTTTTTGTCTCTGTACACGTGAACCTGTTCACAAAGTGTGCATGCTCATCATCCAGGTAGGTTCTGAGAGAAAAAAAAAAAAGTGAGTAGACTGCACTCCCTCAGTCTAGATCATAGTGTGCTTTGGCCTCAGTGAGAAGGAGCTGTTGGATTGTTCCTTCATCCCGTGGGTGACAAGGATTTCAGAACAGCCAATCTCACATAACTCTGCTCCTACATTGTCTTCTGGGGACTGGATGCAGTGTTGTGGCAACATGACATCACACTGGTTTTCTGTAACTCTGGAGAGATCTCCAAAGCATCCCTGGTTTAATATTTACTATTATTGAAGCACTCTACCTAAATATTCCTAATGAAAAAGAAATGTTCTATCCATGCTTAGAAATACCTGTTTTGGAGGGACTAGGAATGGAGTGGGTTATGCATTAGCTGCACATGTGCAAAGGAAGGAAGGAGGTTGTCTGTTCTAATCCAGCTGCTCAGAGCTCTCTTGCTGGCTGCAGAAATGCTGGTTTAAGAGTGATTTGTGTATCCAAGGTTGAGTCCAAGTGCCTAAGAGGGGCACTGCCAGTGTTCTCTGGTTCTTTACTGAAACTCTGTGGTTGCAGTATGTGGTAAGCAGGACCAAAACTCTAAATTAAAAGCAAGAGCAGGGTCTTTTTTAGTTTTAAACCCAACTTAACATGTATATTAATGTTTCCTTGAAGGCAGTGATAGAGCCACAGTATAGATCATACACCTTGAGTCTGTCCCTTGGTAAAACACCAATCATTCTATTAATTAGTGTGTGAGACATACTTAATGACACTTAGGTGAGTTTCAAGAAAACCCCCCAGACTGTGGAACAGAGGACTGAGAAAATATTAAGCATTTTGTTTCTGATATGAGCAAGTGGTTGGAAAACAGAGGTATGAAGGTTTGAAATTGCTTCTGTAGCATTCTAACTGTGAATGCTTTTTACATAAATGTGTTATTGAAAGGCTTCTTCAGACAGAGTTGATCTTCAGTAGCACAGGCATAGAGCTCTTATTACCCCCAAATTACTATATTTTATTTGACAAAATAGTTTTAATCTACATGATGCTATGCCATGTTCTGGATGTGCACCACATCTTCTTCTCCAACTTGTTATTTAAACTGTGTGCCCTGAAAAACAAAATCAGTGTGAGGTGTTACTGCAGTACCTTGTGTCTCAGGTGCTTCCACTTTCAAGCAATACCATCAAAACATCACCAGCCACTTTCTGGTTGGGCAGGTTGGGTTCTCACCTTCAGTCTTCAAGGGGTCTGCAAGGGCTCAGCTGACATGTTTTACAGCTCCTCCAGGTTCCAGGTACCCCACTTTCCCTCAGCAGTCTAGACCAGGCCTGCTGACACAGGTCAGAAGATATTTTTCTGAGAGACTGTCAGTGCTGAATCCTTATTGGCAAATCATTGTGACTGCAAGGGATACTGCCTGGAGGCTTCTATTGGTTGTATGGCCAAATGGATCTGTACAAGCTGCTCTGAGCTGTATATGGACACATATGAGTCACAGTTTAGCTACTTTATTGTTGTTTTCTCCTGTATATTCCTTTCTTGAATGTTTTTTTCCTCAGCAAAACATGCAGTGTTCCCTTTTGCTCAGAATAACTTTTCTGTCTCCGAAGTTCTAAACAGTGTTTGAATATGAAATTTGTCTTACAAAGTTGTAAACAGTGTTTGCATATGAAATACATCAAAGTTGCTCTGTCAGTGTCTGTGGGATATTCTGGAAGCAGCTGGGCACCCCTGAAGTTCTCTGGGTTGATGTTCCCTCCCCTGTGGGCTGTGCTTTGTTTCAGTACGTGGTGACGCCGAGGCGACAGTCCACAGCCATCGCCCTGCAGATTTTGGTGAGCCACTTGCTGGGAGATGCAGGCAGCCCATACCTCATCGGGGCTGTAAGTGAATTCTCTCCTTACTGAATTTTCCTTGGGGTAAAACTTCTAGGAACTGATAGACAGACACTTACAGAATCATAGGCACTACTTGGTCCAAAACCAGAAATTACTCAAATTGCTGGCCCTGAGTCTAGGACACAGAGACATTTTTCTATGTGTTTTTACTTGCATGAAGCACTTGGTCCTGTGACAATGCTTGTAGGTGTGAGTAGTTCCATGCAGTGTGTAGAAATTTACAGACTCATACATTTTTAGAGGCATACATTTTTGCAGAGACAGTGTCATAGGATGTAAGCACTTTCTGCTAAGTTTGTGAGTTTCATGGAAATTATTTCAATGTGTCAAAACCCAAGACTTAGTTCAAATCTTGAAGTTTGAAATCTTGCAATTAGTCAATGGTGTCTTGAAAATTCAGAACAAAAGTGGTGCAATGGTTGTCTTTAGATACTACTTGACCTTTAAAGCTCTGGTCTCAAATCACCTTAACCCTGAATTCCCACATTCCTAGAGACCTGCTCTCTCTGCCCTTCCACATTTACTTGATCTTAGATGCTTCTGTGCAAATCAGCCTCATACTGCTTTCTCCATGCAATTCGTTAATTTTAGTTCCAGAGTAGTTCCGTCAGTCTCATTTCCTTCCTCCATTTATTTTAAGACACAGTTGGTAACAAAGCACCCATTTTGAGTGTTCTGCTTTATTGACATGGGAGATTGAGTCTTTGTTGGTGATTTAAAGTTTAGTTTTTATGAAAGTTTATTTAAAGAAGTTCACCCCCTGTTTACAGTGTCAGGATTAGACAAGGCCAGCAATGCCCAAGTGAGCCATGCCTGCAGAGCTGCTGCTGGCCCAGCCACACAGGAGGTTCCCCTTGTCCTCAGCTGGGTGAAACCCAGAGTCTCAACTGTACAATCTGTCTGGCAGAAAAGAGAGCCTCTCTCCCTGAGGGATTACCCTCTCCCTGGGTACTGGGTTTGACAAACTTTGGGAGCAGACTCTCATCCCTGTCTGCCTCTTTTATTCTTTTCAAGGCCCACACTGTAAAGAGTCTGTTTAAAGCAGGAAAGGATGGAGGTGTTATTCCAGATTAATGACAGCCTTGTTCCCTCCCCAGATCTCCAATGCTATCCAGGCCAGGAACGTCCCCTCGTTGCAGTGGAGTTTCTGGAGCATGCAGTACAGCTTTGTCACCTGTGCCTTTGTTGGCGTCTTTGGAGGAGGATTTTTCCTCCTGACATCTTTCTACGTCGAGGAAGATCGGAAAGAAGCACAGAGGCTCTGAGGTGTCTGTGTTTATAACTGTGAAACCTGGATGTGGTGGCCTGTTTGACACCAGCCACGGGATTGTCTCTGTAACATTAAACCATGTTAATGTCTGCCTTACGGTAATGCCACGTCAGTGTCTATAAAAAAGATAAGGACAAAATCCCAGTGAAGTCCCAGATTAAACAAACCTTCCACACTGAGCAAAACAGACCACAGAGCTCACAAGCAAAATGCAGTTAGTACAAAATGCTGCAGTATGTGGAAATAACATCCTTTACTGTAGTGCACCCCTGCAGACTTCATGGAACATGAGGTTCTTTATCTGTAGCCCTATAGAACCAGTCTTGTCTCTCTGTAGCACTTCTCCCTCTTATAAAAAGTATAAAATATTTAGAGAAAACCTTTTGAATTGGACAGAGCCCTGTCCTCGAGCACCTGGATTCTTACAGCCCTCTTCTGCTCACACTTGGTTTTCCAGGTACCAGCAATGAACTGTCCCTCAAAGGAAGATGAACTGCAGGGAGAGATTTGCACAGAAGAAAAGAATGTCCCTGCTTTTTTCTTTCCTTTTTGCTTAATGAGATACAGCTGGGGAAAAGGCCAAATCACAATTCCTCCATATGGCACAAAATCCTGCATACTGAATTTTTGGATGCTTTTGACTGCAAGTCAAAAATTGCTCATGCATTGGCATATGGCAACTCTCCTCCCCCATCCATAACCAGGCCCTTGTCCTCTGTGGGCTGGGGAGCTCCAGAGGGTGTTTTACAGAGCTGTCACCAGCATGACTGCTGACCTCAACAAGGCAGGAGCTTTGGAGGCACAACATCTCCTGGAGATTAGGGAGGCCTGTGAGTTCTCAGCAAGATGAGATTTGTCTGTAGAATTCAGAAAATGTAAGTAGTAAAAAGAGTGTTTTAAGTTGTCTAAAATGACCAAGAGAAGCAAAAATTATCAAAGTCATGTCAGATTCAAGATTGGAGTGTTGTGATTATTTTATATGTAACATCTTAATGGTATGCCTCTCCTAATACTTGGAGGCTCCTCACTGTACCCTCAGGCCTTGGGTAGGTATCTCCTCTCGTGAGCGAGCAGTAGCACCTGTAAAACCACTTAACTATAACTGTCCATTTGAACTCTTATCTCCAAAGAGAAGAGGATTTTGGATGTGCTATCTGTTGTCACAATATCATGCCAGGTACCAAACAGGACATGGACCAGTGTGGCCAAGTTCCATTGTTTGTCCTTGGCTTAGCTCTCAGTAGCACCTTAAAGCCTAAGCAAGATATTGGCAAGTGAATTGTAAAGTGTTGTAAATATTGATGATTCTCCCAGTAAATCATAAGGATCATAAAGCACAATATTCCTGTAATGACTGTGAATGTCTAATGTCACTGTAAATGGCATAATTCAGCTACTGCAGGTTTTTGTTCTTCCCTCTGTCTACCTAGTATTTAAAAAGTCTGTTCTGAAATCTGACTTAAACCTAGGTAGTGAAATGTGGCCATTGTGGGAAATAATAGAGAAACCTTGTAATACTCAGTGAGAGTGTAATAATTGTCTTTAAAATAAAGTTTGTATTCTGAAAAATTGAGCAACTTTTTCTGGTTGTAAAAACTAGCTATGGCCATTATACCACTGACCTTTTGGAAACCCCTGTGCTACCAGAGAGCCCATATCCAAGAAGGGATTTTTGCTATTGGATATGAATGCTTGCAAAGGTCCTCAGTGCTTCAGCCAAGGCAGGATTTCAGCAGCTCCATGTGCTTCTCTATCGGTACATTCAAGATTTGCCCTGCAAACAGTTGAGCAATTCATCACTTTTGTTATGTCAGCATTAAATTCCTCTTTAAAAAATTCATCAGGAGCTGCATCTGGCACACTGTGCAGGCACGTATTTGACATATGAGCAAGAGATGCCAAATGCTGTTCTGTAAATGGTACAAGCAGTCCATGGCAAACTCCTCCCTCCTCCTACTCCAATCTCCTCTGTGAAAGTGCCTAGAAATGAGCAGGATCACACTGACTAGTCATCCCATCTTTTTGAATGCCTCTCTCTTTTCATTTCAATTTATGGGCAAACTATGTGTATTTTTGATTTTTTTTTCCCTGCATTTAGCAGGAATAACAACTGGATAATCTGAGCTGTGCCTGGGCCTCCCTGGAGCTGCCCTGTCCTGTCTCACTGAGAGCTGCTGGCAGAGGCCATGGAGAGATGCAGCCCCTGCATGGAACAGCCCAGGGAGCCTCTGCCTCCATGGCAGGGAAGCTGTTTCCATCAGCTGCTTGGTCCTGTCTCTTAAAGATGGAACTTCCTCACTGGGATTTGTGTGAGGAGTAGAATTTCTTAACATTTTCTGCATATCTTGATTTTGCTTCTTAGTGGGTGTCACCAAATTCTGCATGGAGGGGTTCCCTTAGTGCTGGAGCTATTTCAGACATTACAGTCTTTTCATGCCACCACCAACCTGAGTTAGGGAAAGTCACAGAGTCCTGGCACATGGCCAGTGGAGGAACTGGGATTTTCAGGCCTCAACTGAAATATCAGTTGTTTTCTATGGTTCTAATTAGGTACAAGTAAGAGAAAAATGGAGGGCTTTAAATAAAGTTACTAAATCAGCTGCTCTGTCTACACTGGAAACAGCTGCTGCTGGTTATTGAGATTGTTTTGTAGCATTCCTGCTGCAGGGAATCTGTCCCTTGTAGCAACTGAATGATGATCAGACAAGTTGTCAAAATGTATATTTTCTGTAATTATTTGTATATTCTCCTCCTACCTTTAACATTTGTTCTTTGCTCTTTCCAGTCAAGATAGAGAGTAAGAGGCTCTTTGAAACAGCTCCAAAATGTGGAATTTTATAAGTCCATTCAGGTAATCCTTGTGATCTTTTCCTCCCCTTCCCTCATTCCCAAAGCAGGGGCAGGTGACCTTTATTGCTGTTTGTGTGGGTATTTTTAAACAAGTTTTAGAGCTCTGCTTTGCATAAAAATTGCCTTCAGAGCTGTGATTATTTCTAGGTGTAAAGGTGTCCAGTGGACAGGACATGTCTAAGTCACAATACCAGGTTGTGTAACCACTTCTGCAGAGGGTTCACTTCTTCCACTAGTGATGTGGTGTGGCATTGCTGGCAGCAGAATTTTAATTGCCAAAGATGTTTCATGTAACTTTTTCTCTCCTTCCCAAAAATTCAGCACCTGCACAGGTGCTCTGGGTCAGTATGCCAGCAATGAAAATTGGTGTTTCCCCCATACTCTGTTTCAGAGTAGATGGCTGAATTCTGTCTCATTCCCCTCCCCTGCACTTGTCTCCCCCCGCAGTCCTGCACTGCCCAGTGACTGGAGCTCACCTGTGCCTTTACCATTAGGTACACTTGTGTACATTAATATCCTCTTGGCTCAGAATCTGTAGAATTTCTGTATGGAAAGTAAGCTAAAGGAGATAGACACTCTCCACCTGAGAATAACATCACAGGAGTGAAGAAAGGCCCACTCAGCCATATTTATGCTGTAGCTGATTTTAGTTTTTCTTAGCAGTAGATCTATCACCTCTGCTTATTCTTTCCGTTTCCCACAACACAATGCACGTGCAGTGTCTGTTGAAATAAATTCTGAAATAACTAAGAAAGCTAAAAGTCCTCCATTATCCCCAAACTTTCATGGAAAATGTTTTCTTGAGAGATCCTTCTGCTGGTTTTCAAACACTGTTCATTCTTCAGGCCTCCTTTGAGCACTGTGTTCTCCCATTCTGCCTGTGAGGGTGCCTGGGACTGGGGAGCAGTCACCTCATCCCTTGGAATAGACAAAAAACCCATGAAAGAACAGTGTCTGCGGGGCCCTGCCAAGTCAGGCTGGCTTTCAAGTAGCTGGAACTGGCTGTATTCCATTACAAGAGAGCACTGGATTCATCTCAGTGCTATAATTACCCTCATTGTAATCTAATAAAGCCTTGGAAAGGTTCTTGGAAAGCTTTTGGCTTATAAGGGAAACAAAGGCTAAGATGAGGAGTCTCTTGATCCTGATGATGGATAGCTGATCAAAATTGTGTGGATCTCACTTTGTGTCATTTTGTGTTTCCTAACAGTTTTGCTATTAGCATGTAAATTGCCTGCACACCCTGCAAGGGTCAAAATGGCTGTAACTGGAGAGATGAATGTACATGCTGTCAAATCCCATGGCAGGAAGGTGCTTTGTAAATGCCCTGTTGGAAGTGCCCAGGTTTGGAATGTGTCTGTATCCCAGCAGGCCTGACCCTGCCAAGGGACCTGGAGCAGGCTTGGGAAACAAACCCATTCTCCCTAAAACCAGGAGTCTGTGCAATGAACAAACTCAACCTGCCCAGGACTCAGCTCACACTGTGGCACCAAGGTCTGACTTTGTCTGCTCATACACTCTGGTGGGTCTTTTCCTACAGTTAATATTTCTCTATATTATTGTGAAAAATTATTTTAAATTTAATTTAGAGGTAAATTTATGCATTCATATATACAGGTGTAATTTGCTTTTCAGTATCAAATGTGTTGGGCAGTAGGTTTGAAACTGAAGTAAAAGGATGGAGGAAATAATTTTTGAAGTGCTGACTTCAAGCTACCTGTTTAATTCTACTAGCATATACCCTAGGAAGGGGCCTGACATTTTTCTGTTCTCATTCCTGTTTCTCCAAGAGCCTTGCATCCCTTAGTTCCTAACAAAGGTGGGTTAAGTCACTGTGTGATCAACACTGAAGAAGATCAGGCCATTTGCTTAAAGATTTAATTATTGGTTTAGGAGTCCAATCTTAGTCACATGTATTTGAAATCTTGGTTGTAGGCATTTTCTTTAGGAAAAGAAAGGAAAATACCCTGCTTGTGTTGCAACAGGAAAATACCTGATGCTTCTTGAGGCAAACCTGCCTTAAACCCAAGCTGAGCTTCCTAGTCCTTTCCCCATTTTATTTATTGATGTGACAAACATCTGCCCTCCAGTGAAGCTGAGGAGGTGCAAGAAAAAATCCAAATGCATCCTCCTGCTCCTCCTCCTCTTCCTTACCTCTGGACTTTATTTCTAATGGCCCTGGAAAGCCAGTGTTAAAACTCCCTTGTTCAGAGGGGCTGTGGCACCTGAGCTGCAGCGCGGAGCTGTGCACGTCACACGTGCGCAGGCTGAAGGCAGTGCAGGCTGCCAGAGGGACAGCCTGGGCTGTTTGCATTTGCTGCCCAGTCTGGCTTTGCTCCACCCTGTTCTCCACAGGCCAAAGGCTGAGCCCAGGGTGAGGAGGGATTATTTATTCTGTATCTTCGGGCCTCTTTGCAGTCAGAGCTGCCTCACTGTGCCCGTGTCAGCTGTGGGCAGCACAAGGTGTTTGACATCAGCACCCCGGCCATCAGCCCGCTGTAGGGATGGGCCTTTGCTGCTGCTCTCCCTTCTCCAGGAGTCCTGGCT